AACTGTTTTGGGGTCACAGTGGAGCTCTTTATGGTTGTAACAAATCTGTTAAGTGGAATCTACAGAGTTCCATGGGGTCACAAGGGAACTTTACTGGGGTCACTAGGCAGCTCTATGGGGTCTCTATGGAACTCCATGGGGTGTCTATGGAACTGTTCTCAGGTCCCTAAGAAGCTGTATGGGGTCCCAAGGGCACTCTGATGGGGTCACAATGGAACAGCTCGGGGATTGCTTTGGGGCTCCATGGAGTCCTAATGGAACTGTTCTGGGGTCGCCATGGAGCTCTATATGGTCTCTGTGGAGCTCTAGGACAACACTATGGAGCTCTAAGGGGCCATAGTGGAACTGTTATGGGGTCACTCTGCCGCTCTATGGGGACACTGTAGAGCTCCACAGGGGGTCTGTGGAACTCTTTTGAGGTCCCGAAGAAGCTCTGAGTGCTCACCAGGGCTCTGCTAAGGAGTCACATGAAGCTCTATGGGCTCCTAGCGCAACTGTTGTGGGGTCACTATGGAGCTCTAGGGGGTCAGGATGCAAATGTTGTGAGGTCACTATAGAGCTGGACGGGGTCACCATGGAGCTGCTATGTGGTCCTAATATTCCTGTTATAGGGGCCCTTTGGACCTCCATGGAGTCTCCAAGAAATTATTCTTAGTTGACTAAGAAGCTGAGTGGAGCCAGTATGGAACTGTTTTGGGCTCACTGTGCAGCTGTATGGTTTCACTATGGAGCTCTTACGTGGTCATAATGGAGCTCTATGGGTGACTGTGGTGCTCTTATGGTCATAATGGACCTTTTAAGGGGTAAGAATAGAACATTAATGGAGTCACTGTGGAGCTCCGTGAGGTCTCTGTGGAGCTCTGTATTGTCATAAAGAAGCTGTTATGGGGTGACAATGGAACTTTGATGGGGTCATTTTGGAGCTTTATGGGCTCACTATGGTACTCTGTGGCGTCATAATTCATCTAGGGAGAATGTGGCTCCCCTGCTAAGTGACAGGAGTGTTCTGGTAACGGGGGATGCTGAGAAGGCGGAGATACTGAATGCCTTCTTTGCTTCTGTCTTCAGTGAAAAAGCTCCCCCTCGGGAATCCGGGACCCTGGAGGTTAGTGAGAGGGTCTGGGGAATGGATGACGTCCCTTCAGTCAGGGAAGAGGTGGTCCGAGAGCGCCTAGGCAACAGCAATGTTCACAAATCCATGGGATCCAATGGGATGCATCCACAGGTGCTGAGGGAGCTGGCAGAGCTGATTGCTGAACTGCTTTCTGTCATCTTTGAGAGGTCTTGGAGGACGGGGGAGGTGCCTGAAGACTGGAGGATAGCCAATGTCACTCCGGTCTTCAAAAAGGGCACGAAGGAAGATCCAGGCAATTATAGGCCAGTCAGCCTCACCTCTGTCCCTGGAAAGGAGATGGAACAGCTGGTGCTGGATGTCATCTCCAGACAACTGGAAGAAAAGGAGGCTAGCAGGAGTAGTCAGCACGGGTTCACCAGGGGGAGGTTGTGCTTGACCAACCTGGTAGCCTTCTATGATGTTGTCTCTGGCTGGGTGGATAGGGGGAGAGCAGTGGAGTTAGTCTACCTTGATTTCAGCAAGGCTTTTGATACTGTCCCCCACGACATCCTTATAACAAAGCTGAGCAAGTGTGGGATAGATGAGTGGACAGTGAGGTGGGTTGAGAACTGGCTGACTGGCAGAGCACAGAGGGTCGTTGTTGGTGGTGCAGAGTCCGGTTGGAGACCTGTAAGCAGCGGTGTTCCTCAGGGGTCTGTGCTGGGTCCGGTCTTGTTCAACATCTTCATCAATGACCTTGATGAGGGGATAATGGCCACCCTCAGCAAGTTTGCTGATGATACGAAGTTGGGAGGATTGGCTGACATGCCTGAAAGCTGTGTTGCCATTCAGCGAGACCTGGATAGGCTGGAGAGCTGGGCAGAAAGAAACCAGATGAGGTTTAACAGGAGGAAGTGTAGAGCCTTGCATCTGGGGAGGAATAATTGCATGCACCGGTACAGGTTGGGGGATGAGCTGCTGGAGGGGAGCTCTGCGGAAAGGGACCTGGGTGTCCTGGTGGATGACAGGTTGGCCATGAGCCAGCAGTGTGCCCTTGTGGCCAAGAGGGCCAATGGCATCCTGGGGTGCATTAAAAAGAGCGTGTCCAGCAGGTCGAGGGAGGTGATCCTCCCCCTCTACTCTGCCCTGGTGAGGCCTCATCTGGAGTACTGTGTCCAGTTCTGGGCTCCCCAGTACAACAAAGACAGGGATCTCTTGGAAAGAGTCCAGCGGAGGGCCACAGAGATGGTGAAGGGCCTGGAGCATCTCTCCTATGAGGAAAGGCTGAGTGAACTGGGTCTGTTCAGCCTTGAGAAAAGAAGACTGAGAGGGGACCTGATCCAGGTCTATAAATATCTAAGGTGTGGGGGGCAGAATGGTGAGGCTGGACTCTGTTCAGAGTGGAGACAGGACAAGGGGAAACGGCCGGAAACTGCAGCACAGGAAGTTCTGCACAAATGTGCTCAAGAACTTCTTTACAGTGAGGTGACGGAGCACTGGAACAGGCTGCCCAGGGAGGTGGTGGAGTCTCCTTTTCTGGAGATGTTCAAGAGCTGCCTGGATGCCTACCTGTGTGACCTGGTGTAGGGAACCTGCTTTGGCAGGGGGGTTGGACTCGATGATCCCTTCCAACCCCTACAATTCTGTGATTCTGTGATTCTGTGAATGTAGCATCTCTGCTGCCATCTTTCATACTGAGAGATAAGTAAAGATTTAAATTATAGGGTTTAAATAAAGATTTAGAGAGTATATATGCATGCATTTATTATTGTTTGCCTTTAACAGACAGGATAGCTGACCTGAATTGTCCAAAAGATATATCACATCATGTAACATTGTGCTCAGAAATGAAATCAAGAGTAGAGGAAGAAGAGGCAGGGTTTTCTTCCAGGGTGGCCACTGCTCACAGACTGGGCATCTATATATCTGTCTGTGAGGGTGATTGCCTTCATAGCACTTGTTATTTTGTTTGTTTTTCTCCTTCATCTCCACTTCTGTTGAGCTGTCTTTATCCTGACTCATGAGTTTTATCATCTTTATCATCTTTTAATTCCTGCTTTCTACTCCATTCTGGTCAGAATGGAGACTGAGTGAGTGGCTGTGTGGGTGTGTCTTGCTCCAATTTATAGGAGGGAAAGGAGGTTCTTTGATATCTGAATACTCGGTGTGAAATTAAGAAGCAGTGGTTCAAATGTTGGTCCGACCAGTTGATTACAAATCTTAATCAGGGTGATAGAGAAGGGGAGGACAGACACTATGACGAATTAGGGTGATGGGGAAGGGAAGAAAGGTGATAGAAAAGATAGGAAAGAAGCAAGGAGTATTTCTGTGAAACAAGAGGGAGATAGTCACCACAATGGATCCAGCGTTGTTCGTAGCTCAGTCTTCAGTAGTGGTGGGTCATCAGGCGTTGTTCTGTTGACAATGATAGTGACCATGGCGATGGTGATGGCAGCTTCTCAATAGTAGAACCAACTTATTTATAAGTCCAAAGTGGTCGAGTCAGCTCTCTTTTGAGTGGCAGCTTCTGGCTCTGGGATCTCAGCAGAAACTCCTTTGTTCCCATCTTCCGGGCCTTGCCAGCAGATAAGAGGGAACAGGGAAGCGCCAACTTGTATCTTGCCTTCACAGGATGCAATGGTTTCATCCCCCAGTCTCCCATAGCAAGCTGGAGTTATTTGGTCACAGGCTAGATCTTCTGCCAGTAAGCAGTCCTGAGCACTCTCTTCCAAAGGCAAACAGCTCCAAAGAAATGCTTTCAAATGTAAAATTGTCCACACAGTGATGTTGATTGGCACATGCAGCACCCATCACTCATCTCCTAGACAAGTCAGTCTTATCACAAGAAATACCTCAGGAAACAAGCTTTGAGCCAAAAGCAAAGGATTCATAGAGGGTGCTTGACTGCTGGCAGGGCCCAATCCACCCTATTATTCTTTAAGAAGTGATCTGTAGTGAAATTGGGAGCTTGGTGTTTCCTGCACCTGATTCCTTCAGAGGGCTTTCTTGCCCATAAACGGTCTCCCCCAAAAAGCTGAGGTGTGCAACCCATGGCACGTAATGTGTCCTGGTGGGGCTGCTTCTGTGGGCCCACAGCATAACTTGCTATGACCAAGGCCAACATTTACGGCATCTCATGCACAGAAGTGGTAACTGTGATTTACACCTAAGTATCCAAAATTGCAAATTCCTAAAATGAAACATGGAGTGGGAAGAAATCCAACTTCATTCCCATGAAGATGTCCAAGTTGGGTCACAGAAAGGATCCTGAGCTTGGTAGAGAGATTATAGTTACAGGCACTGTGAGGAAAGGGTGGTGATGTTAGCGGGTCTGGGCAGGGGGTGTTGGGGTACATGAGGCAGTGTGACTGGGACAGCAGCTGCTGGGTGAAAAGCCCAGTGTGGGTGCTGGGCATGTAGCATGAGGCAGCACCAACCTCCACTGCAGACTTGGGTCACGGGGAATGATTCATGAATTGCTGAAGCTGGGGAGGAAAATTTGGGAGCAACAAATACCACAAGCAAGTGATCACAGAAGAAACCCATCAGTATGCATAGTACATTTAACTCACACTTAGCCAATAACTGCAAGTACAGCCATAGTGACTGCTCTACTATAGTAAAAGATTTAATTCAGATCAATTATGTCTCATGGCTTTTTGTCTCAGAATGGCAGACTTAACAGCAATGCTGTTTTTATGAAAAGCAGAAAAAATATCCAAAACGTTCTTGTAACCCATTGTGATTGCTATGGATGGCAGGTTACAAAAACAAAGAAGCCCTAGGGCTAGGAGACGAGAAGCTTGCCCACTGCAGTGAAAGAGAAGAGAGAAAAAGATTCTGCGGCTTTAATGTGAATTCGTAGCTTAATTTCCCTATTCTCATAGCAACGCTCTTGAAATATGACTCATTTCCTGTGACATGTGCTGCAGTCAATTACCATGGCTAAGACAAGTCCAGCCCACAAGCCTTCCAAGCAACACAAGTCCACAAGCTGCAAGGAGAGCTAAAGCCACCTTACGCAGCTGAAGTGTTCTGTTCTTCAAGCTGATAGACTGGAGGCTAAGTAACATGATAAGCAGATTTTTCACTTGTGAGCTGGCTTTATTGCATTTCTGTCTTTCTTCTGGCTTCTATCAACCAGAGACGTTGCCTGATATTGGAGATGCAGAGTTCATTGAGGAATGTGTGAGAACGCACAACAGATTCCGGTCTGGAGTGAGCCCCCCAGCCAGCAACATGTTGTACATGGTAAGGGGATATTCGCAGTTTACATGCAAGTGTGGTGTTTACAGTTGTTAAAGATGATTCTTCTAATCAAATGTAAAAAAATGAAAAAGAAACCAACTCCTGGGATCATAGCTGCAGTTCCTCTTTAAAGCAGAAGATAAAGCTCTGATTGTCGGATGGTGTTACACAATCAGATACGTGTGTAGCTTAGCTGACTTCGTTTTTTCATTCAAAACTCAAAATTTTAACCCTAAGCTTAGCACTGTAAAAAGTGCTGTGAAAAGGCTCCTCGTTACAAGGCATTGCAGTTTATCAGCCTGGGGTGTGATTTATGTGCAGACCTTAGCACAACCTTTCATACTTGAGTTGGCAAGTGCAGAAAACATTGCCAAATGGCTTTGGAGAGCTTTTCTTTTAGCTTTCTTTGCAAAGATCTCTGCAGCCTGAGCCAATAGAGAGCTGTTAGCTGCAGCTCCTAGGTGCTGGGCTGCAAAGGAAGCCAAAACAAGTGCAGCAGCTGCAATAGCTGGAGGCATTGGTCCTGCACAGTGGTGCCCATCTCTGGCTGCAACCATCATGCAAAAGGCAATCTGTTGTGATTCAAAAGAACCCCAGACCTGGGAAGTAGCTTTAGTGGGGCAAACCAAACCTCCACTGCATATTGCTCCAGATCTTTTCTGAAACTTTCTCTAAACCGCTTCGCTAGCTCTGTGCTAACAGAGTCTTGCTATGAGCAGCATCCATCTTTTTAAAATTGCAGCGATTTTGTGCCTGATTTTTCTTTTTGAAAAGCTGAAGATCTGGAACCAGGAAAAAAAAGAGAAAAAAAAAAAAAAAAAGCAAACAAAGGTCACCACAAAGAAGAAAAGAACCAAAATAATGGCAGCTTTCTTTTAAAGAGCTGCAAAAAAACTAGTCTTGGGTATGACCTCTCCCAGTAAGAATTTGTTGTGGATAAAGCAGTGAAAAACATTATAAAATCAATGAGAAAAGGAGAAGTATTGACATTGAGAAGATCATATATGTTCATTGTTGTAATTGACCTTAGTGCTACAAAAATGAGGAAAACAAGAAAACTTTTTTATTTCTCAGAACACTTCTGTTTCCTGCGGATAACTGTCCATCCAGATGCATAAAGATGAAGGATATGAACTCAAGGCACTTCCATCCTTTGGGAAAAAAATACTTTTTAAAACAAAATGCAAGACAGAAACTCCTTTAAGCACAAGTGACAAAGCCTAACCAGCCACATTTGTAATACAGCTGTTATTATTAATGCTAGTGCAGGATGAAGAAGAAAAGAGGGGTGCGAACTCTCCAGCAGAGGCTGAAAAATGGGACTGCAGAGGACTAACCTATCAACTGCTGTCACACAGCTTTTGTCACAGTCTTCTGCTTGTGACCTCACAGCATTGCCAAAATGTAAACTGCAGCCTCTGTCTCAGCTTGCAGCAATGCTAGGACTGGGAGATAAAGCCTGAACAAAGCGAGATTGTGTTAATTATCCTTCAGAGTTATCATCTAAGGAAACAACAGATCTTCAGTTGCATTTAGACCCCCTGCTACCAAGCTTACCTTTATTATTCCATGTACTGAGTTCTTAGACTTATTATTTATGTTTTAGCTTTGCAGGACAACACTTCTCCCAAATAATTAGCATAGGGAGAATTGGAAGAAGGTGGTTACAAAATATTTTCAAATCTTTGTAGATCTATTTTGATGTCACCTGGCAATTTCTCCTTACCTATTCATTGCATAAAATTAAAAAAAAAAAAAAAAAAAGACATCTTCAGTACAAAAAGACTATATTATATAAAACATAGGCATGAAATTCAGCAACCTCCAAATCTTTCCTCAGTCACGATCAGATCAAAACAGTTTCTCTCTGGTGATCCCACTGTTTGCAGAGGCAACTGAGAGATTTTAATCCATGCACAGAAGGATAAATAAGGAAATCTTATTTTTTTACAAAAGCCCAATCAGAAATTCTCCAGCAGTACTGAACAGCTTAATTTTCATGACACAGTGCTTAAGCAGAGCTCCAGGAGCTGTTTTCCAGGAGGGATAACACTGCTTGCTCAATCAGATTGTGTACACAAGAAAACCCAGTGGAATCAGACAATGCCTCCAGTGCAAACAAAAGACATTCATATAACTCAATGGCTTATGCAACAGCTCTTTGTTGGACTGAATTGCAAGTGAGTGAGTGATTCCACAAATATGAATTCAGTGCTAGTGTTTGAAGCCACAAAATTCCCTGAGTTTAGACTGTTTCAAAAATCCTGCATGTTTGTGACTTGACCGGCAAGCAGCAGCCCTAATCTGTGAGGCTGCATGAGATTTCAGACAGTTTGGGACAGAAAGCACAACCCTCTTCTTCCAGGCTTTCTATAAATACTTTTTTTTAAAGGTTAAATTAACATTCACCCTTAAGTGGCACAGCCTGAAAATGTGTATTGTGCTCCATACACTTTGATGCATAAGTCTTGGCACTCAACAAGCATGTCAGACACAATTGTCCACCTCTCCAAAATCTTCCCCATGTTTAATGAGTGACTAGATTCCCACTGGAACTTACAAGTCAGTCTACCATACAGCACTCGAAGTCTCAGCAGAAATAAACAAGCGAACCTGCAGCATATAGACACAACTTCTCCAAAATCTGTTCAGCACTACTGCATTGCTAAGATAACCAAGTCATTTTTACTTGTCTTTATTTTGCAGAGTTGGGATCCAGACTTGGCAAAGACTGCAAGAGGTTGGGCAAAGAGATGCGAGTTTAAACATAACATATACCTCCAAGAGCCAGGGCAGGCTCACCCCAGATTTACTCCTGTTGGAGAAAATCTCTGGACTGGCTCACTTTCAATTTTTTCAGTGCAAGGAGCCATCACCTCTTGGTACAAAGAGGTTGGAGACTACACATACACCAGCAATAGCTGTAGCAGAGTATGTGGCCATTACACACAGGTAAGGCATCACAATTCTCCAACTCTGTCAAGTTTAGTTGTACTCAGTGCTGCTGAGGCTTCAAGTACTGTGTCTTGCAAGAAATATATCTCACTGCAAGAAATATATCAAAGCCATGGAGCCTGGTGTCCAGAGAAGGGCAGCAAAGTTGCTGAGGGACCTGGAGTACAGGTCATATGGAGAATGGCTGAGGGAACTGAGATTATTTAGTCTGGAGAAGAGGAGGCTTTGGGGAGACGTTATTGCTCTATACAACTGCCTGAAAGGAGGTTGAGGTGAGCTGGGGTTGACCTCTTCTGCCAGGTAACAGGGACAAAGCAAAAAGTCATGGTCTTAAGCTGAATGAAGGGAAGCTCACCTTGGATATTAGGAAAAATTTCTTCCCAGAAAGAGTGGTGAGGTGTTGGAATAGGCTGAGGAAGTGGTAGAGTCATCACCATCCCTGGAAATTTTCAAGAAACATGGAGATGCAGCACTTAGGGACATGGTTTAGTGTACATTGCAGTGATGAGTGGATGGCTAGAATAGATGATCTTAGAGGTCCTTTCCAACTTTCATGGGTCTATGATTCTATGGTTATATGAACTAGACTTGCAGTTCTGACAAAGAAATTCTGTTCTGTTCATGGACTTGGCAAACAACGAGTTGCAGGCTTCCCTTTGGAAAGGGAAATAGGGTATGTGGTGCTGAGTTCAATTGGATAACTCATGCTACGCAGAGGATCTGATGCTCTTGTCTCTGTTATGTCAGTCATGCTTGTGGTCATAGAAGGCAAGACTGCAACCTGAATGTGCTCCTTCTCCCTGTTGTTCCTGTAGCTCCCTGCTTTTTGTCATTTGCCTGCGCAGTAAACCCCTGTAGAAGACAGCAAACAGCTTTGTACTCACAGATTTTATATCCTCCAGTGGGAAAGGCAGAACTATCATGGATTACTATGAAGGAAAGGAGACAAATTTCACCTTCTCCTTTGCAAGAAAGGAAAACTATCTGTCACAATCAATTTCTCTTTCTTTCAGCCATTTTAATAGCAAAATCATAGAATGGTTTGGGTTAGAAGGGACTTTCAAGATCACCTAGTTCCAATCTCCTGCTATAAGCAGGGACACCTCCCCCTAGACCAGGTTGCTCACAGCCCCATGCAGCCTTGAATGCTTCCAGGGACAGGCACCCACAGCCTCACTGGGCAACCTGTTCCAGTGTCTCACCACCCTCGCAGTAAATAATTTCTTCCTGATATCTAGTATAAATCTACCCTCTTCCAGTTTAAAACCATTTTCCCTCATCCTGTTGCTATATGCCCTTCTAAGAAGTCCCTTCCCAGCTTTCCTTTAGGCCTCCTTTGGGTACTGGAAGGCCACTATGAGGTCCCCCAGAGTCTTTTCTAGGCTGAAAATACCCAGCTCTCTCAGTGTGTCCTCATAGAAGAGGTGCTCCAGTCCTCTGGTCATCAAATAAATTAATAAACATCTAGTGAATTAGTTAAAACAACCAGATATTCTTCAGAACAAGCGATTATTTAGATATCCATCACTACTGCTTACCACTGCAAATCATGTCCAAGGAGCATTCCAAAGCCTATCTGACATGTAACATACAGGAGAGCAAGGCTTTTCCCTTAAAGTGCAGCTGTTAACCAAATATTCAGCCACCAATGTTTGTGTCTGTCTTTCCAGGTCGTTTGGGCTCAAAGCTACAAGGTTGGCTGTGCTGTCCACTTCTGTCCCACAGTGTCATACTTCTCAGGAACCAACGCAGCACACTTCGTCTGCAACTATGGGCCAGCGTAAGGTTTCCAGGACAAATATTTTAGAGGATTCAGATCCTGCCCCTTCTTCCCTCCCACAATGTGCAATTTGACAGGATCAGACCATTTTTTCTTGTGTTTATGGGTAGAAATGGTCCTCAAAACAGAGAAAGATACATACGTCTATCCAAGCAACCCTAGTTTGAGTAAATGGGAGTTATATATTGTAGCCAAAAAGCAGTGGTGCTGGTAGAAAAGGTAAAATATAAGACACTGAAATAAGCATACCTAAGCGATCATTTGAAAGCTGTTCCCTCGTTCCTCAGTGCCGAGGTGGCCCCAGATGGTTGCCAAGGCGCAGATCCAAGGTGTGAAAATTTTTACACATTTGTCTGCAGAATCAGGTCTCTTGGTCAATGGTTTGAGTAAATACTGAAGTGTGCAGTGCTTGTAGCTGCAGGCTGAGCTTTAGTATGAGAGCTTGGACATGTGATGCTAGGGCTGCTCAAGACAGAATTTTATTGAGAGATCCTTCATATGCATTGTAAGTAGCATATTTGCTGCCTGAGGTATAGAGAGACACGGAGGCTTTGAAGGACCTGCTGAACCTTGGTCTCAGCTTATGAGGGCAGGATGCTTTTTTGGTCCTGGTTGAGGCCCTGATCTGCTCAGCCCTTAAAGTCACAGGGAGCATAGAGTACAAAGCCATTACTGTGGATATTTACTGCCTGCCAAAATCTTCATGGAGCAGCCTGGGCACCTTCTGGGCGAGGTGGGCAGTCAGGCAGGGCTGACCAGGACACAGTTCACTGTCAATACAAGCAGAGAAAATCTCAAGTTCAGAAGTAAATAAGCAGAAGGGATTGCCATCCCCTCATAAGGGCAGCTTCAAAGCAATGTTATTTTCTTTCACAGTGGGAATTACAGACGGCACCCATATGAGACAGGAGCAGCATGCAGCAAATGCAACGGCGAGCAGTGCGCTGACAATCTGTGTCGTAAGTAGGCAACCCACCCTCCTCCACAGGCACGTGTAGAAAGAGAGGGAGCATGCAAGAAGACTCTGGCAGGAAGCACAGCATCCCCTATTCCCAAATACTGTCTGAAAAAATGCAATGAGGATCCAAGAGAGCAGTGATGCCCATGGATAGTAAAGGTTTTAAAATACCAGCATCAAGGAATGAGAGGGGATCCCTGGCTGCTGATGTCAGCTAGACAAGTGGATCTTGAACTTGAGAGCTGGGAATAAAAAAAAGGTGATGGAGTGAAGTGTACCTGAGGAATAAGTCCTCTCCATGCCAGCCACTGGCAGGGGCACTCAGTAAGATGCAATCGAGGTCTCTGCAGCAAAGCCCCAGAATCACTCTCTGGAAATCTACAGGTCTTTGGTTCTTCCTGGAAAGAAACACAACTGTATTTCTTGTCAGCCCACTGTGAGCGAATTCTCCTCTTTTATAACTCACATTGTTTACAGATTCTAAGCCTGCTGCTTACATTCACTTCTTCTTTTCTCTCCAGGAAACACTGAGCGTGACAAAGTCATTAGTAAGTACCACAGATATTAAATCAGTGCCTCGGTTTGTTGTCCCCAGTGCAGTTACGCTTGAAATAATTGATCTGTTTTGCCTCCAGGTGATTCTAGGTGGCACCCAGCTTGGGACAGACCTGCCTGCGATGAGTACTGCATCTCTGTGGTTGTTTTAAGGCTGTTACTTCTTATTCTGAGTATTGTAGCCACTTGGATCCTACCCAAATACTGGTCCATAACACCTGCCACCAAGTAACTCATAGAAGGCTGTGGCAGCACTGAGGTTGATTCGTCCTCTCCCTGTGCTTAAGCTACTGGCAGTGCTGAGATGGATGGAGATGTTGTTTGCATCCATAAATCATTCTAAATATAGAAATACCATCCCCATTTCATGGAGGAGCTGGCAGAGCTGATAAGGAGCCTTCTCATTGTTCAGAATCAGTAGCTGTTTTTAAATTACCTGCTTATTTTTCCAAAGTGGAGCACTGTGGCAGAGATGGGTGTGCCATGGAACAGCTTGCCACACTTCCCAGGGAGGGAGTGGGGTGTCTGCAGCCCAGCAGAGCAGACTCCTCTATACCTATTGAGCTCTCCTCCAGCGAGACGCAGCAGCATGGTTTTGGGTAGCCTGGAGAGATTTTCTTCTATCATTTATAGCTTTTTTTTTTTACCTCATAATTTTTGGGTACAGGTGAGTTCCAGCATGTGAATCCCACAGCAGGCAGTGCGTTTCCCTGTATCGCAGTGCACAGGGACCACTGGCATTTCTCTTTGCTTAGAATCTGTTTTCAAACACACATCATCTCTGCCAAGACACAGAGCTTCACCCGTGTTTAAATGTGACTCTGCACCACCTTAAACTTTTTTTTTTTTCTTTTTCTGAGCATGAGGTTTCTGATTTCTGCTTCAAACAATAAACCACTATTTCCTGCCTCTCATGCACGGTGATCATGTATCTGCAACCTGATCTGAAGGTCCACTGGTGCACAAACCCAGAACAAATACATTCAGTTCCAGCCTGCACAATGCCAAGAAACACGATGCTGGGAAACACAGTGCAGTGCTCTAAAAACTGTGCTGTGCCCAAAGTCGTGCTCTGGGCTCAGTGGCTGCCGAGCTCCAGTCTCCATGAGGCTGTGCTGAGAGCAGGCAGGGTTCAGCCAGGCCCCTTCAATATATCACACCACTCTGCTGGGTGCTTTTACGCAGGAATCCAGGGAGTCCCCCAGCTGCTTCCCGTCTGTGGTGCTGTCTTTGCTCACTTCTGTCAGTGTTGCTGCACAGGTCCTGCTCTGATGCCACTCCTGGAGTCAGCCTCACCTGGAATTACTGCAACTGCAACCCAGAGTTTCTGACATTATTCTTCCATGCAGTTAGCTGCTAGTACTTGAATCATCTCAGCATCACAGCATGTCCTCAATAAATCATTTTCCAAAATGTAAATGCGGTCAGGGACAGAATTCCTAATTCTCTTCCTTGTCCTTCACTTATATTTACAATTTGTTTGTGCCAGAGCCTCTTTTCTGCCATCCAGTGACCCCAGTGTCACAGCACCTGTTCTGGCCAAAATAGAGAGACAATTTTGTTTAAAAAAAATAAAAAATAAAAAATCCTCACTACCGATTCAAGGCCACGGGTCTATCTGTTGAAAAGGGCAGCCACTTTCATTCCCACTTACCTTTTTGCCACACTTTTTTGAGCACCACTCAAGCCTCACGCTTTCTGTACTGCGAAGTCCCATCTGGAAATCCCACAAGGACAATAACCAGCACATGTTGGCAGCAGGACGTACTCTGCAGTGTCCTTTTGCAGAGAAGGGCTGTTATGCCAGCATCTGCCCCATGTGCAGGAAGGTCCTACTGATGCAAGAAGAAATGGAGGAAAGGAAAGTGCATACAATGCTGTGTCCAGGGAGCAAAATGAGCTCAGCAGGAATGCTCCCCTGCTAAGTTTAATCTATACTTGGTTTCCAGGAGAGTAAACAGAACCAACACAGAGCCCTAAAAGTTCAGAACATTCACAGTGCTGCCACTGAACCACATACCTTAGCAGCTTGAAGGGAATTCCATAGAGAAAGCTTCATTTAAAAAAAAACAACTGTAAATCACTGGGGCTCATGGGGAAAAAAAACAACCAACCCACAACAAATTCTACAGCATGGTAACGTTCAAACAAAAAAATCCAGAAAGTCAAGGAGTCCAAGCCAAACAACTGCATCTCATTTTTTAAGGACACCCAAAATCCAGATATTTAACTCCCGATGATTAAACCCCCTCAAGTTGTTCACATTCTTTTTATGGCACCCATCTGCGACTTCCACATGATCAATGCAAAATACGGATACAGAAACAGCCATTGAGTACTTTGCTAGTCTCTAAACTCTAAAATCAGTTTAAGGAGATAATTTGCAAAAATTCAAGCTAGTTCTGAAATTACTAAAACAACTACTTTGCCCTTCTAAACTTATTTTTCTGTTTGTTGTTTTTTTTTTTACATCAGAATAGGTGTCAAAAGCACTGTAGTGAGCCCAGCGCAGGTGGTTACCACTAAAAAGCTGATTCTAAGCACACAAATCCTTGGTTTGCCTTCCTTACGTGAATGAAGGGCCTTTCTAGATTTTCCTGTTTAACTAAATAGAAGTCTAACCAACAATCCCTGAAACTCAGCAGCCATAACAACCAAAAAAGGTTAAACATAACCCTTTCATCTCACAAAAACAGAACAAGACTCCATGAAATCAAGTAAGTTCTACTGCGGTTGGGGCTTTGATGCCCAACCTACACACATACCTCAGCTGGGGAACCAAAATTCAAAACATACATTTCCATGGAAGTACACAGATGCATTTTGAGGTCAGGCTGCCACCAAGCTAACGTACATTTTCCTGCTCTGTGACTCAGGCAACCACGCAGTTGGTTGGCCCAGCGGGAAAACAATCATTTAATTAGCAGCAAGCCTTTTTAGCCAAACCAGGTTCCTGAAATAAAAGGCCAACCTACAAAGTCAAACGGCCCTTTGCATCGTGGAACAAGATATGAACTTAATTTTAGCAAGCAGAAATTTGCTGCAGGGACCTTCTGCAGTAAAAGGGGCCTCATTCAGTCTAAAATATAACAGAGGACTCTCCCTCCTTGCACCTCCCCTGAATCCAGTTCAGCTCCTCTTTACTGGCTTTGGACTCTGCAGATTAATGTTGAAGTTGTGATCCCACTCACTTGTGGGATCACATGAGAACCATGGCAATGCCTCTGGAGGTAGCCCAGGCCAATATGTCTGACCCACCTGATACTGAGCTCAAGTCTCCCCTTTGCACCATCAACAGCTACGTATCAGATAACATGTCTAAGAGCTTATCATAGGGCTGGTATCCTAAACATATCAGCCTACTACAGCTTCTGAGATGGGTGTGTAATTTTCTTATTTTCTCAGTGAAGCATCTGTTGAGCTTTCTTACATGATTTTATAAGTACTTAAAATGACATTTATGGATGATAGAGTATTGAGTTTTCTCTTCCAGAACTAAGTTGCAAGAAAAGGTCAGGCAACGGAAAGGGGTACCAATATTGCCCCCCACCCTAAAGGGCAAGAATCCTAGATCATCTTCTCCATGCACACACACATACTGACTCTTTAACATACATTCTAAATTCTTATTTAGACATGTAACAAAGAAAACAGCTGTGTTTTCACTGACCAGTCTCAAATAAAAGGCCACTAACCAAACCAAAGTGAGCTGCAGTGTTCTAGCATAATCATCTTTACCACATGTGCAAGGGATCAGAATTCCAAAGTCTGGCAAAGCACTCAAACGCTGTGGTGAAACTGGTGTGGCCTGACCACCTACTTACTGTTACATTTGCTTCTTGAACCTCAGATGCATCAACTAAGTAACATCTGCTTTTCCAGTGCACTCTGTTTCATCATAATTTCCATTTGTACTTCCTTCAAAAAAGGGGAAGGGGCTGAACAAAGTTAAAAGTAACCTAAGTTCTCATTTCTTGTAAGAAATGAATTTAAAACACATTTAAAGAAAGGTAACATTTATGTTTTCCCTGCAGCACACTTGCATTGTGTTACATTCTGCCTAACAAGATAATGCTAATAAATGACAATTTATTAATGGCGTTCAATTAAGATTATGGTTGTCTAATCCTCACACAAAGCTGTGAGCTTGCTTACAAGAATACAAGATGTAGGTTTTGCAATAGATGACTAATTAAAGGATTTATCATCAATATATTAAAATAGTTTATTAACACCAAGACAAGACACACAAGAAAAACAGCTTGTACAGAAATAAAAGCTTAATAGAACTAATAAATCTTGCCTATCTTGACATTTATTTGGTAGCCTTTCATAGAAGTATTCCATTTAACTCCCACTGAGTTCTCCAATCCTTACCGTTTCACATTCTGTATCAAACTCCTGAATGCTTCTAATATAAAACTTCCTTTAGGCAGACAGATATTACCCAAATACACTCTCACTTTCTCAAAAAAACATGAGAGAGCAGACTTTGTACACCAACTTTGACAATTCTGCATAGCTGCCCTAGGTTCATTTGTTAAAATGGGCTTGTGAAAAGAGAACAATCTTCCTGCCTAGGATTTTCTCATCCACACTACACTGACAGCAAGTGGTTTACTCCACGTCTCAGTTGTTCCAAGTGTGAAAACGTTCATTATTGTAGGAGAAGAGTAAGCATGAGTGGTGCATTACTTCTTTTTTTTCTTCTTTTCGTCTGCTGCCATTTTTAACTTGACTTCTTCCATAGGAAGTGCTCCTAATTTCTTCTTCTTTGCATTCTTTACTTTTTCCTTGATGGCTTCAATATCAATTTTTTTCTCAGTGGAGGCTACACAGTAACAACACAAGCACAAACAGACACAAGTTTTACTTTTCTGATTTTTCACAGCCTGTAAGATTACTTCGTATGTATCCATGGTAAACTGCATGCTGTAGCATTGGTTAGGACCAATTTTATGTTTGCTAACAATTTTATAAACTATTCTTATCATTTTTACTGAAAATGATACACAATCCTCTTTCAACAGAATTCAAGGAATAGTTACATAAAAAAACCCCTATACAACTGTATTTGAAAACTGATGCCCTACTACACTGCACACTTAGAAATTATCACCTGCTCATCAGATCACAGCTGTACTCCAAGATTAATACATACATAGTCTGCTGGACACGTGTTGGTTGGTTGTTGCCTTGGTTGGTCTTACATAAAAAGAATAAACTATTTATTGAGTACTTATTTTCAGAGCTTTCATGGCATTTTATATATATGCATGTAACTAGGGTGATGAGTTCACAGACATGCCTGTACCATCCTTATTTTCCTTCCCTGGCCATGCATTAATGATGGCTGCTGGAAAAAGTCTGATCCCTGCATAAAAACTTTTGTAAGAGACTTCTACAGGAAGTGACAGAGCATGAAGAGTATCCTATTTTATGTTCATAAAACATTGTAAGAACATGCTTTATAAGGACATGACTGACAGAACGAGGGGAAGTGGTTTTAAACTGGAAGAGGGTAGATTTAGATTAGATATCAGGAAGAAATTCTTTACTGCGAGGGTGGTGAGACACTGAACAGGCTGCAGTGAGGCTGTGGGTGCCCCTCCCTGGAAGCATTCAAGGCCAGGCTGGATGGGGCTGTGAGCAACCTGGTCTAGAGGGCGGTGGCCCTGCCCATAGGAGGGGGTTGGAATTAGGATATTAAGGTTCCTTCCAAGCCAAACCATTCCATGATTCTGTGATTCATCTGGTATTTTCTCTTTTGGCCAAGAGACATGAGCTTAGGTCCAACTCTGCCACCTCACATGGTTAATTCCTACACACCATCAGGTGTCCTTCTTGGAACTCAGTTCTTCTCTACATACAAAGTATTTCTGTTATTTAGTTCTGGAAGACTGAATGGTTTCATTCAAAACACTTACCAGCTGGAAGATCACACTATTTGATATACAGAAGAGGCAGTAGCATGATTACAGAAAATTTACTGCTATCACAAAAAAGTATTTTATACAAATCAGTGCTCCAGAATATACACTGTTTAAGAAGTATACGAATTCTTCAGCTCACAAGAAACTGCAATATACAGTGTATTAACATGTAAGTAGCATGACCTTTCTTATTTCCTATGGCTACATCTCCACATCATCAGGCTAGGAATTTACACTACAAATGTTTAGAACAGGGAAAAAAAAAGTGTTACCTCTCTTTGCTTTCACAACTGGCTTTTCCTTCGGTGGGATAAAAGCTTTATTCCTTTCCTCTTGTCTCTTCTTGACTGCGTCAGCTTGCTTTGCCTAAAATTAACAATAACAAGTATGAAGTACCAACAGAGCAGGGCAAAAGGGAGAAAAATCGAAGACAGAAATCAAGCCTTTTCTAATTGGTTGTAACAAGTTTACCTTTATTTCTTCCACTCGCTTTCGTTTCTTCTGGCTTTCTTTCAAAAAATATTCACCACTTGCCAATTCTTTATCAATCTGTACAAGAAAAGTATCAGGAAGCTTTAGAAAATTATACATTATCAGCCAGATATATAGTATCAGGAAATACAAACTTGACAGAAAAAGCCCGTTAACTTCATCTTAACAAAAGCAGGATTTAAAATCATCATCATATACTCCTGCATAAGCAAATAAAGTTTCAGCTGACCTGGCTTTCTGGCTGTGGAGGTGGGAATGGTGTGTACTCCTTCTTAATATTTTTCTTCTTTGGCTCCTTGCGTTTTTTCAAGTTCTTCCGCTTGAACTTAGGCAAAAATCTTTCCCAGTTCTGTGTCCTCAGTTCAGGATCTTTTGATAATTCACGTTTGATCATCAAAGTCTTTGGGAGTTTTAGAATGTCACAAAGAAGAATAAAACAACAGTTTGCAGTAGTGCCTAAAAGCTCCAAACTAAAAGTTTCTGATAGTATACTAATAGTTGAGGGATTTAATTATGAACAGAAGCAGAAAGGTGAATATGTCTCAGGATGGAAACAATTTAAATGAGCAGGTATCAAGCAAACAATGAAAGGGAAGAAAACATGATATTTTCTCAGATACTGTCAATGATATGACAACATATCCCCAGCAAGTAGACTATTTTTCTTCTTCTTTTTATTTTTTATTTTTTTTTTTAAGTACGAAACAGAAATACTCACAAAGAGTTTACTACATTGACACATATAACTATTAACATAAAGCTCTGTACAAAGACATAATGCTTTCAGAGGTGCACACCAGACCATACCAACCTTAATGTTGTATATGGGATGTATATTCTTCATTGTGTCCAGAACAACTTTCCTAACCTGCATTTAATAAAAGAAAATGAACGGTACGCTCAGCAGGTACTTCATATTCTAATCAATTAAAATATTAAGTACCCTAAGTTTCTTCAAAATCAGAACTTTTCTCTTTCCTAGCTGCACAACAAAAGCAGCTAGACTGAAAAAGCCACAAAGCCAACTAGAAGGCACAGTGCTTCAAAAATATCATTAGTTCCTAGCCAGGCTTCTGATACACTCCAGCATCACCCGTAAGCACTACTTTCATGCCACCATGGATGTTACGTTGTTTTGTAGCTTTTGACATGTATTTTTCCCTACAGAATTACTAAAAATACATGAGATGTTCACCCATGCTATATGCCATTAGCACTGCAGTATTTTCACTTAAATCTCTTAACTATAGCAACTCTGCACAGTAATCTACAGAGAAAAAAAAAAGCCAAAGAAGCAGAAGTAGATACATTATTCAGAATTATAAGAAGGCACTCCTTTGATATGCCTGCTAAACCTTACCTTAAGAAACAAAAAATACTTTTTCAGCAACTAACAAAATTCAAGAGCTAAGATTATAGGCATTCACATAGAAGCAGCACTAACATGTAGCCGAAAGGACAACTCTCAAGGCTGTCAGATTCTGCCTGCAATCCATGTCAGAGCTGGGCACAAAAGTGGGCTACAGAAACCACTCATCTGCCTTCTCTTACCTCTTTTAGCCCACTGAAAGGTCCAAGAGCTGAAACAGTGTTACCTTGCACCATAATATAACAGTTGGTTAACAGTTCGAGGGCCTGGAACAACAAAAACGAATAAAGTCAGTGTGAGCTCAAGGTCTGAAACAAATCTACATCTAAGATTTTTATGGTAAAATCTTATACCTTCAGAGTAGATCCTTTTGGCCCAAGAAGTCGTCCTCTTCTTTTCACAAAACTTTCTCTGTTCCTCACTAGAGAACCTATTTTAATGATGTCACACGCAACATCATCCTGAAGAATACGAACTGCCTGAAGATACAAGCAGCAGGTATTAACACCTGAATCCAAAAGTATTATTCAGAAGAGCCAAAAGACTCATTTCATTTGCAGTTATGCTTACTTTAAATATATATTTTCATATCATTATAAAATCATTTGAATTGAAGGGACTTTTAAAGGTCAGCTAGTCCAACTCCTCTGCAACAGAGACACCTACAGGTAGGTCAAGCTGCTCAGAGCCCCATCCGGTCTGACCTTACGTATCTCCTGGAGTGGGGCATCCACCACCTCTGTTCCAGTTTTTCACCACCACTACCTGAAAAACCCATATTTTGAAAACATACTACTTTATAAGCATTACAGTATTATTTGCTACAAACCTGCTCAAATGGAACACTTCTTGCCAGAAGCTTTATTAAGTCTCTAGCCCTGATGATCGCATATGGATCAAAAGTCTTCTTAGTAGTAGTGACTGTCATGCTTCCTTCAATTAGATCCAGCGTTGCATTCACATACTGCAACATGTGAAAATAAACAGCAAAGCAATCTCTAAAATAAGAATCTAAGATCATATTTCTGGTAGGATGAACTTAAGAAATATAAAACTACACGCTGCAGAGGCACGCAAATCCATTATCCAAACCTCTGAAAATGACTCTCAGACACACACACACACACACACACACACACACACACACACACACACACAAAAGCCACCAGATTGGCAGTCTCTATGTATCACAAGGCCTGAAACACTATCCCCCTCATCTCCTTTAAAGTTGGCAGATTGTGGACAACACCTGCTACTACAGCAAGTTTTAATGCAAAAGTAACACCTATATCTCCCAAATAATAGAGCACAGCATCACAACTCATACATGCTCACTCAGGGCTTTCTGGACAAGAGGCCAGCACTCCTTCAGGTAAGCTTCTCTGTACTTGGGGAATAACGTTGCAAAACTGCTTTCTTCCAGCAGCCCCCTGGGATTGTCTTCCTTGGTAAATGCCGGTTCTTTCCATCCATCCGGCACGGTGAGCAGTTCAGACTCATCAACTGCTAGAGATTAAAAGACGAAATAAAGTTTGTTTCTCATTTGTCACCGATGGCAGCGATAACCGAAAGCAGGCACATAGCAGGCGGTGCGTGCAATGCTCCATTGGAGGCGATCTGCATTTCTCCTTACAGAAGTTACCCCCTTTCCGGCCCGCCGCCGGGCCCCTCATTCCCTCAGCGAGCGAAAAGGAAAGCACGGCGGAGCAGCAGGCCCAAACCCCGCCGCCAAGAAGCCGCGCAACCCGCAGACAGCTCCCGCAGAGCCCCGCACCCACCTTTGGCCGCTTTCTTCTTGCCGGGACGCCGCGCCTTTTCCTCCGCCGCCTCAGGAGCCGCCATGCTCACCGCGCGCACACAACTTCCGCCCGGCGCCGGAAGTGGAACAGGGGCCGCGCGGCATGCCGGGAACTGGAGTCCCAGGTTGCACGCCGTTGTAGTCACGCTTCCGGGCGGCACAGCGCGCTGGGCAGCCGGGTCGGGTGCCGTATCTGCACTCAGGCAGCAGCCGCGGGTCCTGGAGATGGGCTTGGCTGGGGGGCGTGCGGCAAGCACCTTCTTTCCTCCTTCCTCTTTCACGTCAGACATCGCTCCCATCCGCGCACCTCAGCGCTGAATTTGCTGCTGGCGTTTTGCAGCGCAAAGGGAAAAAAAATCCAGCATCATCAAAATCAAACCAAAGCACTTGGGTAGATGCTTGAAGTACTTTAGTACTTGCAACTAAAAAGAACACGTGTTCCTGATGAGATCTAATTATTTAGTTGAATGACATAGCTTAATGCCTCCTGGGTGATGCTCTGCCTCCTCCCCACTCCCCATCACACACTTGTACTTCAGCATTTTCTTCAGAATGAAAGCAAGCTTGTGCAGCCTTTGCTGCTTTCCTAGGCATCAGGAGAAGCTGGAAGAGATGTTTGAGCAGGAGTCCCTGAGGCAGGGCAGCGTTCCTGCAAATGTTCATCAGAGCTGCTCACTGTGAGGGGTTTAATTATTGTCATAATTATGGAATCATAGAATGCCTTAAGTTGAAAGTGACCTTAAAGATCAATTCCAACCCCTCCCCCATGGCCAGGCTACCCCCCACCAGCTCAGGCTGCCCAAGGCACCATCCAACCCAGCCTTTAACCCAACAGAGATGAGGCACCCACAGGCGTTCTGGGCACCCAGTGCCTCACTGCCTGCTGAGTAAAAGATTCTTTGTAATATCCACCTTAAATTTCCCCTCTTTTCGTTTAAAGCCATTCTCTTTTTACTATCACTATCAAACCCCTTCAGCTTTTAAGTTCCCTTCAAGTACTAGAAGTCTGCAATGAGGTCTCCCTAGAGCCTTTTCTTCAGATGAATAAGTCCAATTCCCACAACAACAATAAGAGGCTCCAGCCCTTTGATCATCTTCGTGGCCCTCCCCTGGACCCTCTCCAACAGCTATCCCTACTGTCTACTCTACACATAAATAAAACATCCAAAACTCAGTTTTGACGACCAAAGACCTTTCATTGGGCCGCACTGCTGCTTTTACCCGCTGGGTGGCACTGACCGCCGCGACAAAAGGAGCAGCCCCAGCAAGCCTCGGTGCCCGACGAACAGCAGATTCCCGAGCTGCTCTGGCAATGGGCACGGACAGACCGCGGCTCAGAAGTTTCTGATGAGACGCACCTGGATCTTCTCCAAATTGCAAGCACGCTCCAGAGACGTCTGTCTCCAAGGAAATGGGAACAGAGCATCCCTGTTGCTCGCTGGCTGAAAATATAAAACAATGGAGTAATTCAGGTTGGAAAAGAACTAAGATCATCAAGTTCGCCTGTCAAAGCTCTGCACCCCAATGGGGTCAACCCACAAGGCCACCCAAACCACAGCCCAGGCAGCACCCAGCTCCCAGCTATTAGTGTGTGCAGCTCTCTCATCATTCAGGAGCCTGACAGTATAATTCGTATCTGGGGAACCTGAAACAATTACAAATCCAACTGAAATGCTATTTATTTTTCAAGATTTCACCCTTAGTTAGGCGCTGTTGTTTTGCTTTAATTACACCATAATTTACTGCAACAAAACTGTTCGGAAAGCATATATGTGTGTGGCAGAAAGGCTCTGACATTGCAACCTGCTTACCTACGACAACGAGCACTAAACAGGGAATTTATGATCCTAGGTTGATAGAGCACTTGGTGTTCACTACACTACCTTCATAGAATTACAGAACCAGAGAATCATGAAGGTTGGAAAAGACCTCCACGACCATCAGGCCCAATTGTAGACCCAACCCCACCATGCCCACTCAAGGAATTGTAGAAGCATTAAGGTTGGAAAAGATCTCTAATATTACCCAGTCCAACCATTAACCCATCCCCACTATGCCCACTATACCCACTTTCATCCAGAGGGTCTCCAACTCCTTTCAAAACCAGACCAAGACCCATGAGCGTGACTACTGAGCTATTTTGCACAGAGGAATATTAAGGTGCAGAGGAGCTAATCTCCTTAATTTATCTCCAGGTGGGGATCAGCCCAGATGCAATATGAGGATGAAAGAATATCATGCTACGGGGAAGAAAATCTAGCCTCAAATTAAGAGACAATACCAGCAGTTGTGCTGTCAGACTTGGAAGCTGTGACTCAGGATGGCCCCTCATATCCCATCCTGCCTGGCTCTCTGGTGGCGGCAGTGACTTCTCAGCTTTCTTCTTACCTCAAATTTTGCAGAGGAGCTGAATACAAGGAAGCCGCCTCCCTAATTCCTGTCACAGACCAGATGCTCGTGTAGACCCCTCTCCTGCTCCAGTCAGCCCACTTGGGCTCAGACAATGACAGATTTATATCACTTTTGTCCGACACTGCTCAGACACAATGGCCAGCCCCAGCATGTCTGCAGTGACAGGCTGGGAGGTGGGGACAGCTGTCTGGGGCCAGGGACTGCCGAGGGGACAGGGAGATGGAGGTTACTGCAGGGAGTTCCAGCAGTCCTATACAAGACTCTGATGGGGCAACGCATTTTCTTAAAGCAGCTCTCATGGAATCACAGAATTGCAGGGGTTGGATCATACCTCTGGGGATCGAGTCCAAGGCCCTGCTGAAGCAGTTTTCCTACAGGAAGCAACATGTATCAAATTCCCTTTGTGTGACCTTTTGAAGTCTTCTGCCGGAATAACGCAGATCTCAGTCTAGCAAGACCCCTACATCTGCAGAGCCAGTTGCTGGGCTCTGGAGGAAGCTAGGCAGCTGTGCGTGTGTCTCTGTGCGCACACCGCTTTCCTGTTAGAAGGAAAGCAGGCGATGAAACAGCACAGCCACACAGCCTCCCCTGAATGCACTTCAGGCTGTAAGATAAAATAGGCAGAGCGCTGCTGTTAGGCTGAAGGTGCCTCTATTATGCAGCAAAGTAATTATTTCCCAGTCAGTAGATAGGACTCAAGCCACTTGGCACTTTCTTACGTGCCATTTTCAAATCCAAAAGAGCAACTTGGGATTTTGTGATAATTCAAGCAATCAGATGAGCTCATGCACATGGCATTCATTCACTAGAAATGCCATGCAGATCCCATTCAGCCCCAGCACTCGTAAATCCATGTGACACTTTTATCTATTTATAAACTTTTAACAGCAGATTATGATTGTTATGCAAGCCATTTTCCAGGGATTAATAAGCAGTTTGTGTTGATGGCAGTGAGAAGAACCATTAACTGCTCTGGGACAGTCATTAATCTGTAGTAAATGCTCAGCATCTGGATCTTTTCTGCGTAATTAAATAATCAATACTGCCTTTTGATTGAAACAACTGGAGAATTGTATCTCAAATTTGTCTTAGCTTAGGTATTCTTAATTCTTTTTGCTCATGTCAGGGCAGGAAACAGCCATGTGGGCAAGTGAGAGTCCGAGCTCTTTCATGAAAAACACCCCAAATGATAAAAATATAACTCAAACTGGATACCAAAATCTGTTCACTGGTCACGATATAGGGGAAAAAAAAAAAAAATAAAAATTGAGAATGTGTTGTCCTTTTCATGTAAATATTAAAGTCCTTCATTATTTGAGTAAAGTTATGGCATGAAGTGACCCAATACTTAGAGACAGCCTGACAGAATAAAAATAATCAAGCAGAAAGTTCCTGTGCCCAGCTACCTCCAGAAAAGCCCCATCCTGCTAACACAACCAAGGCTGATATGGCTGGGCTTTCCATTTCTCTTTCCTCTTCAGTTCTCTCTCTAGCAGAGGTGTAAGTCGCTTTTCTGGTTCTGCTTTATTCTTGACTTTGCTGCTGAGTGCAGCAATCTGCAGAGGTGCTGACAGATAAAAGTAACAGTGCCCACTGCAAACCACGCTGATGCAGTGCTGCTGCCAACTCTGCAGGGAGCCTGAGGAGGGGGAGGTCATCACAGGTGCCAAGCAGGAAGCAGGAGAGGAAAACACAAATTTCAGAAGAGGGAATGAGACTGTGTATCATCACAGGATCATAAACAAATTCTCAGTCTTCTGGGCTCTCTTCACCACATAGCAAATCCACACCTCGCTACAAGGTCAGTATGGAGAAATAACTGCACAGCTTCCTGCTAGTTGGGTTAAAGTTGAAAAAAGAGCAAGCGCTCACACTGTCAGTTATCTACTAGTATTTCAAAGCTGGAAAGCCAGAAGGAAGGTTTTGCTAAAAATGAGAGAAGTGTCACTGATTCAAGAGCAAAGTTTTCAGATGTAGCTAGCACTTGCAAGGCTAGGCATGGAGAGATCAGGAAAGGGGACAGCAGCCATCATAAATTCAGCTCGGCTAAGAGCTAGCTGACTCTAAGAGAGCGAGAACTTCCCTTTGAAAGAGAGCAGAAAGGAGAGCACATGCTAAACCCTAAAGAGGAACAAAGAGCTGAAACATGAGAGGGGCACGAAGCACGAGATCATCTGAAAGGATTTGCTGGAAAACCATAGCAAAGATAATTTGAGGCAGAAGGAAAAACCCAGAATAAGAAGAAAGAACCAACAGACAGAAAGGATGACAGCTTTGTCTGGGGAAAGCCTTGGCGCAATAAAACTGCTGTCACCAAGAAAGGGAAGGAGCCAAATGGGAAAAGGAACTCAATGTCATTATGAAATAAAAGCAGCAGGCTTAAATCAAAAAGTCTTTGGAGCAGGGGATGTGTCTAATCATGCGTCGTACAGTGATGGACAGGATGGGGCTTTTTTCTTGACTTGAGCGTCTGGGAGTTGTCAGAAAGCGAACAACACACAACAGAAACTGTGCCAGGACCTGAGATATGCACAGAGAATGTGCAGCTGAGAGTGCTCAGGAAATACGTCCCTGAATTTCTCCAAAATGCGTGATTAAAATCATTTTAATATTGTACCTGAGCAGCCAGGCTTTGAGCATTGCGGATTTTTAGGAATGCGCAATAGTGCCAGTGTGTATTATTCTGGAATGTGGAGATAAAATACTCCCTCAATCTATTTTTCTCTTGTACTAGAATCCAGGCATTATTATGCAGATTTCCACTATAGCAAAATTACAGCAGAATAAATAGCTCTGCTATACACGAAGGGGGAATCCTATTACATCTTCAGTAACTCTCAGTAAGCATCATCGCTATTATACCAATTGAAGAGACAGAAAACAATTTTTAATTAAAAATATT